TTACCCTTCACTTTAATAAATAAACTCCCATTTACCCAAAGATGCTTTGTACCAAGTTTGGTTAAAATTGGCAAAGTGGTTCTTGAGAAGTTGAGAATGTGAAAAGTTTACAGACGGACGACGGACAACGGGTGATTAGAAACGCTCAATTGGGCTTTCAGCTCAGGTGAGCTAAAAAGCAAGTATATAGGACGTGTTATAACAGGCAATGGTAGTTATGGAACACAAAAATATTACAAATGATTCATTGGCTTGATATACATGTACAAGAATATTTTCCAAGAAGTTGAATGAAGTTAGCGTAGATTTAAACTGGCGTTTCTAAATGTGCTTTAAATGAATATATGTAAACAAGACATTTAGCGATGTACTTGATTAAGCGGAAAATGCTTTCCACGAAAGGCGCTAAATAGAATACACAGCCAAATATAATACTTTTATAGTAATATTCGAACACTGCACTGAATTTCTTGAAAATACATATAAAAATTGCTGTCTAATAGATTTAAAATACACGAGACCTTACGTGTTAATTTCAATAGTCCCCGCCCACTGACGTCAGAAACAAACACAGCCGCACGAGATTGACATGCATATAAGGCTCCTGGCCTTTCACCTGGCGAAATTAACATTTCGGTTGAATTATCAAGAAATCAACTCACCTAGCTTTCAAAGACTTATCACAGAGAAAAACTTTAGAAATATAAATATAGTATTTTAATCAAAGACGAGCATATTTTACACCCATTTCTCCAAAGCAACAAGAAAGAGTACTAAAACGTCAGGAAAAAGCATGAAAATTTTGATTATAACCATAAGAAATTAGAAAAATACAAAGCTTCTGAGATTTATTTTGAAATTGTTTTGGAACATCTAGGTGAACTCTATGTATTTTTGGGTCTTCTAAGTATCTTGCTCAATTATTTTGAATTATTGGGTCAAAGATTGTTCATATTTGCAACAGATGATGATCTGAGTAGTTGTCCTTAAATTAATTTGGAAGACAACGGTTAAAGTATATGCTTTATGACTCTAAAAAAAGAACTGTTTCCTGTAATGAATTAAAAACATGATTGTGACGTAAAATTTTTGTTTGTGCTGTCCATTCTATATAACTTATCGTTGAGCTAACTCCCCAAACAATCCATTAAGTTACCTGTGAGTGTCCATTCTTTTCGGACAATTGTCAATTCTTTTGAAGAAATTGACAGTTTTTTTTTTAAAAAGAAATGGACAGTTAAAACAAACAAAATGGAGAGTTACAGGTAAACTTTGGTATGTACCCAAGAGGGAAACAAATACATTAAAAAAATTTAATTTACATGTAAACACGAAAAGAACGCGGAGATCTAAGTTAATCCAGAACACAATGTCTGCAGAGCATCTGCACAATTTTACACTTTTAAATCCATGAATAATGCACATAATTTCAATATTAAAAAGTCAATTTTCACAAAACTTGAATTTAAATGACAAAATTTCACATTTGATTTAAATTTCGGAAACATCATTCCCTGGAGGTGAATCTATTTTAAGATCGAAGTTCAGCTAATATTTAATCCACCACCCAGAAAACAGTTTGCACCATGAACACTACACTGTTGCAATTAATATTTCCGTAGAAAATAATTAAAATTGAAACATTTCCAGATATTTAATTTGAAATACATTTTCAGAGCGAAGTTTGGCTCATGGCTTATCCAAATTCAGAATACAACTTACAGCTCATCATTATACTGCTGCAGTCAAAATATCCTCAAAAATTGAATTCAAATAAAACATTTCCAGATTTGATTCGAATTTGATAATAAGCTGTATTTTGTCGTCGAAGTTCATTTTGGGGTCAAAGTTTGGCTAATATTTTCTTACTCCTACTATTCTTTGTTTCCAGATCCAACTGTCACTGATTTTGTGCATCTTTTGGTTCATTAGATTTTGATTCTTTCATATACTCTCTCCATCAGAGGAAAACATGTATGCCTTTATAACGCAAACTATAAACTGATTTGAAGCATGGCATATTTGTATAAATACTGACATTCCCCAATATTCACCTGTATCTGTCCATTCTTTATTTGCGTCTGGAAACACAATGGCTATTCAACAAATTGCTGTGCACCCCTAGCTTACCTGTGACTGTCCATTCTGTAAACAGTGAACCTGCCATTGTATGTGTGCTACCTGTCAAAATCAGTTCTTAATATCTGATACCATTTTTATTGTACATTTTTATTTAATTCTCAGAACAAAGAAAATCATGTTTCATCATGTTCTTTCTCTCACAGAATGGACAGTTTGAGATCTTTCTCCTTTACTGAATATATGCTTGGAAAACACAATCATGCAAGAGAGGCGCTTTGATTCAGAACGCTATGTTTTGGTTTATGCTATCAAATTCATCTTATACGAATATTAAAAGAAGAAGAAAGCTAAGTAGAAAAAAGATAAAACGATGGAGCAATTTGGAGTTAAACATGTTTTCAACCTTTCCAAAAATTCTGTTTGATAATGCGTGATCTTTTTTCATGTATATGTATGTTTGTATTCTCTTGCAAATTCAGAATTCAACAAAGGTGGTATACCAGAAATTCCAGATGATCTAATGGACATGCAGGATCATTTAATATCGAGGAATTTGATTCTTTGATGTGGTTAAAAGACATTATCATAAAAACATCTGTGGAATATGAAAGCCCTAGCACCAACTGTCAAGAGTTATGGCCAATGTTAAATTTGGTAAAATTTTGCAAAAGTGGGTTAATCTCCATGGTCAAAGTCAGGAGATCAAATATGCTGGTACCCAAATAAAGACCATGTAACAAGGAATACACGCGTAAAATATGAAATCCATAGCTTTAACCAATCAAAAGTTATGGCTAAGGTTAAAGTTTTTGCGAACAAACAGACAAACGGACAGAGCAAAAACTATACTAGTATTCACCGAATCTTCGAAACGGGGGCATAATTAAAAAAAAACTAAAGTATTTTGGTCGGAAGTGTACATTTCAGATCTAAAATGCTTCAAAAATACGAAAGAATACAAAAGTGGGCAAACTGTGAAGTAATATAGTAATAATCCCAACACAATCATAAAGGAAAAATACCTGGGTTTTATCATAATTATAATTGTAACAAAGCAGCAAATTAGTTGTGAATTTGAATAAGCAATCCTTAACGTGCGATCTTTTCTTTCGCTTGTTGATTTCTTTCGTTTATTCCAAATCATGTTATTATAAACTACTAAGTTAACACCAGGTCATCACCGAGCCTTTCATTTCTAGAACTTTGAGTCCATAAGTACGGGTTTTTACGTTGTCCGTTTCTTGATTCAAATATGAGTCTGAAAAAAATTAAATGATTTTTTTATTGCTCAAAAATGTTTTCATTGTTTCAATTCAAATTAAATCATCTGTATATTAACTAATACTACAGGGGAAAAAACATAGTAATCATAGATTACAAAGCTCACCACAAAGAATGTTGTCTTTAAGTAAGGCAAGGTCCCACATTAAACTAATAACCTAGCAGTATGCACCCGTGTATATAACATATATGCAATTTTGGTCTGATAGGGCTTGCAGTTACTTGGGAATGGATTGATGACACTCATCAATAAAATGAAAGTCAAATCCAGCATCTGAAGCAAGTTTGAGAGTGTTCATCCCTTGATGCATCATCCATGCACGTTTGGTTCAAACAGGCCTTATGCGTTCTTGGTAATAAGTCTGCTCCAAAAACTTAAGCTGGTCACTCATCTGGAAAATATAAGTCAAATCCCGCATCCAAAGCAACTCTGGCAGTGTGCATCAATAAATGTCTCCTTCGTTAATTCAGTGCAAATTTGTTTAGCCTAGGGCTTATAGTCACTTTAAAAAGAAACTGCTCCAAAACTTTAACCTGGATGCTCATTTGGAAAATGTAGGTCAAATTTTGCATCCGAAGCAAGTCCAGAAGAATGCATCCTTAGATGTATCATCCTTGCGAGATTGATCAAGTAAGGGCAAATAGTTACTAAAGAATGAACCTGCTCCGAAAAAGTCATTCGGAAAATGTAGGTCAGATCCAGTATTCGTAGTAAGTCTAGTCTAGTAAGTCTAGTACTAAGCATCCTTAGATGTATCATCCATGGAAATTTGGTCAACATATGGCTTTTTTTACTTTAGAATAAACCTGCTCCAAAAACTGTAACCTGGTCATTCATCCGGAAAATGTAGGTCAGATCCTGCATCCGAAACAAGTCTAGTAGTGTGCATTCTTAAATATATCATCAATACAAGTTTAGTCAACATAGGTCTTATAGTTACTAAAGAATGAACATGCTCCAAAACCTTAAACATGCATGGCCACTCATTCGGAAAATGTAGATCAGATCCAGCATCCGAAGCAAGTCTGGTAGTGTGCATCCATGCAAGTTTGGTCAACATATGGCTTATAGTTACTTAAGAATGAACATGCTCCAAAAACTTTAACCTGGTCTCTAACTCATCCGGAAAATGCTGTTCCAGTATCCGAAACAAGCCTGGTAGTGTGCATTCTTAGACGTATCATCCATGCACAAGTTTGGTCAACATAAGGGCTTATACAGAAACCTTAACCCGGTCAATCATCCGGAAAATGTAGGTCGGATCCAGTATTCGCAGTATTCGAAGCAAGCGTGGTAATGTACATCCAAGTTTGGTCAACAATGGTCTTATAGTTAACTGGAAATGAGACTTGTTCCAAAGACTTTAACCTTATCCAAAAACTTTAACCTGCTCCCAAAAGATTAACTTGGTAATTCTTTAGCTGAAATTGCAGCATCTGAAACCTTGACTGGTACAATAAATCATACAAGACGCATCTTCCATGCATCGCTGATAAATATAGGGCATAGAAGTACTTGAAAAGAAATCTGCTCCAAAAACTTTAACCTGGGACTCAGACGCCGAGGGTATTACATAAGCTTCTCCCAATTCGTTGAGGTGAGCTAAAAACGATGATATTTAAAAAAAAATGACATTTTACCTATAAATGAGAGTTGCTACCAGTAGACCAACAAAAGGTCCAACCCAGTAGATGTAGTGATATTCCCAAACCCCATCAATATCATATTTCAAAGTGGAAACAGCCGGACCCAAACTTCTTGCTGGATTCATCGATCCACCGGTCACAGTTAATCTAATTATGAAATAAAAAAGATAATTAATTTTATCTTACTATGTTTCTTCATTCATGCCAATTTTTATTCCTTATTTGCAGACATATACATATAAACCATTCTGATCAGGTAATACAGCAAAAACCATTATCATGATACATAATACGTATGTATTAAGCAAATAAAGAATAATAATATCAAAATAGTGTTTACCCTGCCATTGCTCCCACTGTGATGGCGAAACCAATCGCTAAAGGTGCCAGTTTGTGTTTCTTTTCGTCCATTGTTGTCATTAATACGGTCAAAATTAGCATAAACGTCAGAATGGCCTCCGTCAAAACTCCCCAGCCGGGCTCCGTCCCACTTCTCAGTACTGTGGCTCCACCAAGGCGTAATTCGTAGTTACTTCTTGATAAAATACCCTTCATAAAGATGCAAGGAAATTATAAACGTATTACACTTTTTTTAAACAAGGGGAGGTGGGGGAAAGAGGTCCCACAGGTTCTTGTTGTATCCTACTCCATATATAAAATTATATATGCATGAATATGGAGTAGAATTTTTAAAGTTACGGGAAAGGTGAAAGTCTCTGCAGACAGACAGACAGACGGGCGGACAGAACAAAAACTATATACCCCTCGAATCTTCGATTACGAGGGCATAAAAATAGGTATTGACAAAGAATTAAAACTATGAAGTATACATACAAGAACTAGGGCTGCTCCAATCAGGCCTCCGATCATCTGAGCTAAGAAATAGCATAGTGCAACAAGGAAGGGCACACCTCCACACAAAGTCACGGCAGCCGTAATGGCTGGGTTGAAATGTCCACCACTATACAACATGCAATTCAGAAAATATTATTTGCTATTCCAATTTCAGTCCTTTCACATAGGAAAAACATACTTTCAGAAACCTGTCCCTAGCAAGTGCATATCATTTTCACGCCGATTTTTTAAGTTGCATCTAGCATGTTGGAAGTCACATGTGGGTGATATTTGATAATTTTGGAAAATTGATTGCATTTATCTTGCATGTCAACTTAATTACGTTGCATGTTGACATATTTATATTGCATGTTGACATTATTATCTTGCAGGTTGACATAATCTTTAGAAAAAATAACTTGCATAGGGGGCAGAAATATGCCACCATGATTTGTGATTTTATCTGAGAAATTCTTTTCACTGCCTCAAATAGATTGATAAACAAAATAAAAAAGGCAGCAGAGAATAAAAATCAATAACTTTAATGGAGAGTCGCACTTTGTAAGACTATTGAATGTAGATTTTGTATTTTTTAACTGTATACCATCAAATTTCGGATACTCAAACCTACCTGATCTTTCCTAGTCCTGCAATGAGGAAAACATATGCAAACCCCTGTAAGATACCTGACATGATTCCATATGCTGCAGGATATAAACATACAATAAATACATAAAGTGTAGTTCCGATGAACTCGGCTAGGACAGGACGAACAACTTTGTCAAAAAAAGTAGAAACAGGTGGTTCCTGGTTAACGGCCGTGTTCCCCTCAGCCATCTGCATTTTAAAGATTTAAATTGCGCAGTAGGAAATACGAGTTTATTTACACGTACAAGAGTTATCCAGAGCAACATACTGGGTAACTGCGTAATAAAACTATTATTTGCAGGATTTATGAGATTGATCAAAGTTCGTTATCTTCACCTTTTAGCTTACCTAACACGAAGGATCAAATGAGCTTTTCTAACTGAAGGGTGCCAGATGTCTGTCTGTCTGTAGTGTGTCTTCTGTAAACTTTTTCACATTTTCGACTCTTCAGGAACTAGTGGACCAGTCTCAACCAAACTTGCCACAAGATATCCTTGGGTGAAGGGAATTTGGGTTTTTACAAATGAAGGACCACGTCCTTTTTCAATGGGAGTTTAAAAAATTAGTAAAAAAAAATAATGGCATTTTTTAAAAATCATCTTTTCAATAACAACCGGGCAAGAAAAGATGAAACAACTCATTAGAAACTTCATTAAATAGTGTAGATTCAAGTCCGTTCAAATTATGACCTCTGGGATATAAAGCTGTTAAAATTAAAAAAAAAACTGTAATTTTGATGGAACATTTTTTAGAATTGTTACTGCATATAAACCTCCTTGCATTTCTACGGACTATCTACCTTAAAACTTTTTTAATACTTGGTGATTTATTAGGTGTTCATGACCTGGTTTTAAGCTGCAATTCTCATTTTTCTACAGATGTATCAACCGGCAATTTCTTGATTGTATGTCTCAAATCTACATGAACCCAAAATGACTAAGTCTATAAAAATGAAAAAAAACCACACCTGTAAGAGGAAGAAAAATTATACGATTATACATTCATGATGAAAAAACTAGGTGCACATCTTTAGATGCTGAATAATGAGTGTACAAATTTTCAGAACAAATCCATGCAGTAGTCTCCAAGAAAATATCCGGACAAAATCATATCTTCAGACAGACGCACATGCTGATTCCAATATACCCCCCCCCCCCCTCTAAACTTCGTTTGAGGGAAGGGAGTATGATAACCGTTTTAATAAAAAAAAATCATCATAACCACGGCATTGTATAATAGAGAAGGTAAGTCATTTCGGTTTGTTTATATTGGAGCCCTCTTGGACATCAAGCCTAAAATATCATTTACCTACTTATTTTACCAGAATGTGTCATCTTATCTTGTTTCGGAAGAGCTTTTTGCCTTTAATCGTGCTATTTTTAAATTGTCCATACTTTCCACTATAATCCGACTTATTCAACGTCAAACGTGAAAAATGCTACAAAATTTGGAAATGTCAAAGCAGAAAATACGAAAGTGATGCGAAAACGACACCTAGCGGGTTACTCTCGAGTTCCGAGTATTATTGAAATCGAGGGAAAAGATAGAGGTCTACATAAAAGTTCGGGAAAATTACCATGAAGAAGCTGAAAATTGATTCTTAAGAATTTAATTTTGCTGCAGGTTTTCGAGATAAGAAGTGTGTGTGGGGGGGGGGGGGGGGGGGGGGAGGGGCAACCACATCTACATGAAAATTTACTATAGCAAAATACTATACTCGGAATAAAGTTGGAGGCACGGTCCCAAGCAACCCCCCCCCCGTTCTACGGCTCTGTGTGCAGCTTATAAGGAATTTTACATGTAGCCCAGTCTTCAATATTCATTTTTTTTGTAAATAAGTTTCATTTTAACCAAATATATACATGTGTATTAAAAAAAAGTGCTACATTAAAAAATATTTTTCAATTATAATTGCACATACAATATATAAATAATAAAATTATTTTTCGATTTCTGATCTTATGTAACAGATAACATACTAAATGGCCATATAACTCGTTGTATTTTATCATTGTCATGCACTGCTAGGTGGCGCGTCCCCCGGTCGGTGGATAGGGGATTAATTCCCTCGCTTATTGAGGGGTGCACCGGATAGACTGAAGAAGGTGCCGTGGACCAACACAGCATAAGGGAAGGATACTCTGAGAGAAAACCACTGTTCCTCCCAGCTTGGGGGTTGTGCATGAGACCGACTTTCTCCTCACGGAGTAAAACGACAGTTACGGAAACAATGGACATGATAGAGCAAAGAAGACCAGGTGAAGCGGGGACCGCCAACAGTGGCAGTAGGACGACGAGGGGTGAAAGCCTTAGGGATGCCAAGCGTCCGACTAAATCCCTTAATGTGACACCCAAACAAGCATTCACCATAAGACACTGGAATGTACAAACTATGTATAGAGAAGTGGCATCAGTACAGATTGCGAGAGAAATGGAAGGATACCAGCTAGACGTTCTTGGAATCAGAGAGTGCAGATGGACAGGAGCTGGGAGGATTAGACTGGCCTCAGGCCAGACCATCACATACAGCGGGGATGAAGAACTGCATGTGGGATAAGTTGCGATAATGATCAGCCAGCAGGCAGTGAAATCACTTATGCAATGGACACCCGTCAGCAAGAGGATCATAACAGCACGATTCTATACAAGATACGGGTGAGTGTCGGTGATCCAAGCTTATGCGCCACATAATGAAAAGGAAGAGGAGAAGGACCAATTCTATCAGGAGCTACAGGAGACCCTAGATAGATGCAACAAGAACGACGTCATTATTATCATGGGGGACCTCGACTCCAAGGAAGGAAGTGATAATAACGGGTACGAAAGAACTATGGGTATCCATGGACTGGGTACACAAAATGAGAATGGAGAAAGGCTATTTGAATTTTGTCAGACCAACGGACTTGTAATCACAGGAACATTGTTCCCCATAAAGACATTCAAAAAGCAACATGGGTGTCTGCTACTGGAATAGCGAAAAACCAGATTGACCAACTTCTCATTAGTGGGCAGTGGACATCTTCTGTTCTTGACACCAAAGTCCAGAGGGGAGCAGATGCCAACTACCTGGTGAAGACCCGAATCAGGCTACGCCTCAGCACACACAAGAATAAGAACAAGTTGAAACCAAGACTGGATGTAGAGCGCCTCAAAAACAAAGAAGTAAAAACAAAATTCATTGAATGCATGGGAAAGAAATTAGAAGAACACAAGGAAATGACGTAAGATATCGCGAAAATGTGAGAGCAGCAGAGGATGGCCTATGTGAATTCAGCAGAGGAAATACTTGGCTTCAGGAAAGGCAAAAGCAAGCCTTGGATCAGCGAAAACACCTGGAAACTGATAGACGAAAGAAAAGACATCAAGGCAAAGAGAGATAGCACAAAAACAGAAAAAGTCAAGACTAGATTGAGGGAAACTTACAGAGAGAAAGACAAAGCAGTCAAAAAAGTGCGAAAGAGGACAAGAGGAGATGGATGGCAAAGAAAGCTGTGCGAGCACAGAAAGCGGTCAAGAACGGGAGACAGAAGGAACTGTACAGCATCGTAAAGCAGCTGACAAGAAAGAGTAATAGATAAACAGCAGCAGTGTAGAGCAAGGATTGGGAGCTGCTGAAGAATAGAGAAGCGAGGCTTGCCAGATGGAGGGAACACTTTGAGGAAGTGCTCAAATGATACATTCCAGAGTCACCACCACAAGATGAACATCAAGAGGGAGAGGAGCTAGACATTTCAGTCGAGACACCCACCACACAGGAAATAAGGGCTGTACTTAAGACGCTTCGGAATGGGAAGGCCCCTGGAGCAGATCTACTGACAGCAGAAATGTTAAAGACAGACCTCGATCAGACCAGTCAAGAACTGAAGTACACCTTTGACCAGATATGGATGGAGGAGAAGCTGCCCAAAGAATGGACCAAGGGACTCATCTGCAAAATTACCACGAAAGGCAACTTACAGCAACTGAATGGGGGGATGACATTGCTGACCCTAGCCAACAAAGCACTCAGCAGAATCCCCATCAACAGAATACAGGTCAGAAGTGACCACATCCTTAGGAAAGAGCAGGCAGGGTTTCGGAGAGGGAGAGGGACTGTCAATCAGATCTTCATCCTCAGGAACATCCTGGAGCAAGTCAACGAGTGGAATGTTACCTTGTACATCCATTTTGTGGCTTTTGAGAAAGCGTTCGACTCGGTGCACAGTGACAGTCTTTGGGTCAAAACTGATTAAAAAAATGATTAAAATGGTCAAAGCCCTGTAAGACGATTTTCAGTGCTCTGTGATTGACGACAACGAGACCACAGCCCATTTCCCTGTGATGACTGGCGTCAAACAAGGATGCTGTATGTAAGGTTTCTTGTTCCTCCTGATGATAGACTGGGTGATGCCACAGACAGTCAGAGAAGAGAGAACGGGAATTCCACTATACTTGAAGACTCGACTTTGCGGACGACATTGCCCTACTGTCATCAACAATGAACCATCTTCAGTCCAAGATGACAAAACTGGAAGACAACTCAGCAAAAGTTGGAATGAAGCTGAATGCAAAGAAGTGCAAAGTGATGATGATAAACAGCAAGAGTGAAGCCAGTCTGACAGTCGGAAACAGTGAAGCCGAAGGGGTGGACAGATTCACTTACCTTGGTGCCGATGTCACCTAGGACGGCGGGGGTACTGCTGACATCAGGAAAAGGATTGCGTTGGCCGGCGCATCCTTCAGGAGGCTAGCCTACATCTGGAAGGCCACAGACATCAGTAGAAAGATGAAAGTCTCCCTCTTGAAGAGCCTGGTCCTCTCCGTATTGTTATATGAATGTGAGACTTGGAAGCTTACCAAGACAGAGGAAAAGAGGATTGACATCTTTCGGACCAATTGCCTCGGAAGGATTCTCAATGTCAAATAGCAGCATATCCCAAACAGGACAATTCTGGAGATGGCAGGAGCAGAAAACATAAGTGCCGAGATGAGGAGAAGGAAATGGAATGGGATGGGCCATATGCTGAGAAAAGATCCAACAGATGACTGTTGTGGCCCTCGGGTGAACGCCTGAGGGGAGAAAGAAGCAAGGCCGCCCCCAAAAAACATGGTGTGGAGCGGAATAAGGCAGGCTGGAACTCCTGGAACACGGCACGCTGTGCAGCCTCAGACCGACCCCAGTGGAAAAGAGATGTTCAGGCCTTGTGTGCCTTCTGGCACGAAGAGAAATAAGGTTAAGGTAAGGTATACTCTTACTTTAATTGTCCCAGGGACCTACATGTATATGTTTTAACAATCCCTGTTTGTCCCTATCAACATTCAGGTGCAAATTAATCATGATCTCTTCAGTTTAAATCTTCACATCACGAGTTGTATACGTATTTTCAATTTATCGATTATCGTGACCATACTCGTGTGACAGTATGGTAGGCTAAAGCTAGAAAATTCTTTGTGTGAATTTGCATTTTTAAGAAATAAATAACAAATCTCTTTACCGAATTCTTTGCGAGACCACAATTATTTCGTTACTTGACAGAATCATATGTGAGAAAATTTTACATCATAATTCCATTGGTTTAAAGTAATTAATTTCATATTTTAGGGCAAGCAGGTAATAAGCATACTAGTATTACCAAAGAACTGCGAACGATAGTATTGTTCTCCCGCCTACCTCCAAGTCAATTTTCAAAAGTTACGATATTCGAATGATTTTTAATATTTATATTGATATTTATATGGATTTTCATAAAATATTACTTCTTTGGGAAAACAACGAGAGATAACTCTAAAATTTCGTGTTTTTCACTATAGAAATCAACGGAAAACGGAAAATATTTTTAAAACATCTTTCCCCCCCGTGAAACAAAAATTCCTTTTTACGGGTAATATGGACTGTCATTTCACAAATTCATACCAAAGCTTTTTGTGTTTCACGGGGGGGGGGGGGGGACATATGTTTATATACAAAAAACGACAAAAATGCTTATTTTTTCAGCAATTTCCAAGTGCTTTACAACTGAAACATCATATTTTACTAATATATATGCTTAATTTTATATGCATAAAACATAAGAAAAGATTTAAGAAACATTTATTCATATCCAAGACTATTTCCAGAATATGGTGATGCTTTATAGCCCGATTTCAGTGGAAAATATCGTCTACCCCCCTAATTCCAAGAGCTGGAATTAGGGATATTTTACTATTTAGCACTGGAATTAAAATAATTAATCAATTACCATTGAACTGTTCTTTGTATTAAACAAAGATTTTATGGCCAAATTGTCATCAATATTGAATTAAATGGTTGTAAAATGTAGGCGGGAATCGGGAGTTACCGTGCGTAGTTCTTTGTTCATTCAAAAGTTTGTTTATTTATCATGCTAAGGCCAAGTTTATAAAATTCTTTGTTTGCAATTGCCGACTTGTAATTTTTAGAGTGGGTAGGTAGGTATGTTTTAATTTTTAAAAAAAAAAAAAAGAAATTAAGTTTTCAGAATTTTTTTAGATTACAAATTATAGAGTTTTTCATGGGCTTACTAAACATAGATAAACTCCACCTGTTATAAGTCACTGATCGATAAAATACAAAAATCAAAAAGAAAATAAAACAGTTTCTGAAATATCCTTGAAAAAAAAATACAAAATGGCTGAAAAAAGTTTGAGTCGGGTGTATTATAAGTGGGTCGGTAGGCAACTGAACACAAATAAATTTTCATTTTAGGCCTAATTAATTCCTGGTATCACAGACCTCTAGATCGCATTAGTTCGACTGACAAGACTGGGGGTACAAGACAGGCCTTTAGATCGCTTTAATCCCACTGACAAAATTAGGGGTATAAAAAAATTATACGCAAGTTTTGTCAGTCGAATTAAAGCGATCTAAAGACCTGTGACTTGTATTAAAGTATAAGACACCCAAAAATTTTTACTTGGAACATATACTACCGGTATTGCGGTGTGATCTATAAAAGCTTAAAATCAACCTAACAGTCTGAGACGACGCTTTGGAACAATTTTAATTCGTGGTAGTCAACATTTGTGGGCGATCAAATTTTTACTGATTCGTGTAATTTTGTGGGTAACAGGTTTAATTACATAATAAATTTGATGGACAGATACTTTGACAAAGTTATTGTTCGTGCAAATATAAATTCATGGAAATCCACAAACATTTGCCCCCCCCTCCCCCCCCCCCCCCCCCCACGAACAATGATGTTTCCTTAATATATGTTTTTTAAGGCTCCATTCCTAAATGTGACATTCGCATCAATATACTAAGGTATATTTGCGAAGCGTGTTGAAAATAATTGCTGGATTCTGGACACACACACCACACATATTAAAAAAAAAAACAATTTATTTACTTCTTATTTAACATTAAAGAATAAATAATAATATCATCCAAATTTACACATGATATACACGATGAGAACAGAATTTATGTAAAGTTGTCAATGTGGTTATCGTTCAATGTAGAGTCTCCTGTTTCCGGTAGCAAAAAGCATCCTGAAATTCAAGAGAAAAGGCTATTTCAGAAAAACTTTCTATTGTAACATAAGTAAGTGAGTTTATAGTATAATCAACTTTTTTTCTTTAAACTTCAGTTCACCGGTTCATAGTTGAATCATTTCAAAAATTAATGTAATATGGTACTTGTAGAATCATCTGTTAATTGTTATCATTACATTATTTACAAACATCAATTTAGGAATGGAAACTTTGCAATGAAATCATAGTATTTTATTTAGTTTTCCTTTCTTTGAATTAATGTAGATCCTTAAAGTTCCTGTGCTTTTCTTTTTATGCCCCCGTTTTTGCTCTGTCCGTCCCTCTAGCTATTTGTCTGTCGGCAAAAACTTTAACCTTGCTAAATAACTTTTGATTGGTTGGAGATATGGCTTTCATATTTCACATACATGTACTTGACCTCTTGAACTTGACGTTGTGGTTGACCAAATTGTACAATTAAAAATTTCACCAAACGTGCAATAAAATTTTTTACCAAATTTTAACCTTGTTCGTAAGTTTTGAACGATTGGTGCTAAGGCTTTCTACTTTTGAAAAACTTAAACTTGTCCCTAACTTTTGAACGGTTGGTTTCATGGTTTTCATATTTCACATAGGTATTCCTTGTGACGAGACCTTTCCTTGGACACCATTTTTTCTAACCCTTTGACCTTCTTTAGAAAAATTGAACCTTGGCCTTAACTTTTGAACAGTTGGTGATAGAGATTTCATATTTCACAGATGTTTTGCTTGTGACAAGACCTGTCTTAGGGTACGAAACAGTTTTGATCTCTTGACCTTGGAGTTTGACTTGCATTTTAGAAACTTTAGCCTCCGCTATGATCTGCCAAACAGGGCCATCAGTGTCTCACAAACACATCTTTTTTCTAAATATAACAGTAAATTGTCCTCTCGTTAAAGTCGCATATGGAGTATTTTTGATAAGTTCAGACTAACTAAAATTAAAAAGAACTTTCTATATGTTTTATTACTTTATATAAAGATTGGACTTTCCTGTAAATTACACAATTTAAATCAATCGCGTTACATAGATATTAGAGATTTAAAACAAGAACCGATTTATTTACTGACTCCGCATTTAAATATAGACTGTTGAAAATCGATTTAACTATAGAAACGTGAGGTTATTTAAGTTTATAATCGGTGAAAATTTAATTTGAACGTAAATAACAAATATCATGTTCATCTACACTCAATCTCGTATTTTTATTTTTTAGCTCAGATACACCATATATAGCTTTAAATAAATATTTAATTAATTGCATTATCTTGATATGTAAGCATTATTTGTACAGATTCAGTAGATGTTCGTTCTTAAAACATATATTCAGGACATAAATGTTTTAAAACAAACTTACTTATATAAAATAGCTGCCACACCTGCTCCACATATAGGACCCACCCAGTATACATAATGATGTTCCCAAACATTCACGTCCCCATATTTAGAGTAAGCAACAGCGGGTCCAAAGCTTCTAGCTGGATTCATAGAGGCCCCAGTTGTTTTGGCACTGTCGTGTAATAAATAAAAATAGATCAGACATAATGGTGTATCCATAAACAACAGATGAGTGTAGATCTATACATATGTAAATGAGAGTAGGAATCTCGGTGATATCAATTAAAATTGGATTCTTAGATTCATTTCAGTACATATCTACCTTATATTGTATTTAAAAGGAGAGGAACCAGTGGGATACAAGAACTTGTTTCCAATTTTTTTTCATTTTATTTCAATAAAATGTGTTGAAAACATTATTTGTTGTGATCTCATTTTAGAATTTGTTGAGAGTCCCCTTCAGGAAAGCGACTCTCACTTCTAAGTTATATATTTCAACTCTCCGAATAAGACTTAAACCAATAGTTCAACTATCATTTATTTTAAATATTGGTCGGCATTTCTTTATTACTGTACCCTGCAATAATGTCTACAACCACGGAAAATCCGATAGCTAAGGGAGCTAATTTATTCTTCTTGTCATCTACAGCAGTCAATAGGACGGTGAACACCAATAGGAAGGTTAGTATTCCCTCAGCTAGTATCGCCCAGCCTGGTTCTACGTCACTTCCTAGCGTATGCGCTCCACCAGTTATATTTTTATACACATTTTCAGGTAGGACTGCCTGAAAAATACCAATGTTATAGAGTAGGATTTCCCTCCGGAAAGTCAACTCTAGAGTAGGATTTCCCCTGTCGGAGAAATCCTGCTCTAGACTTTCCACGGGAGAGCCATTTCCCGCCTTTATTATCACCCAGAATGGGAACTCCTCCTTAGCGTTATAATATACTACATATATAACTAGCTATAGTACTAGTCATGTGAACATATTCTTTAAAGGATGTGGATACATGTATGATTTTAGGAGAATTTACTGCATTCTAGAATCTATAAGGGTAGCCCCCCCCCCCCCCCATTTAAAGAAACGACAATCAGGCAAGAACAATACATCTATCAACTTAATTTAAGTTTGGATGAGCTTTATAATATGACATATTTTTACAGATTTGTATACATATATGTGGATAGGCTATAATATAAATACTACATGTAGTTGAAGGTAACATTGAAAATTTTCACCCCAAGAAAACCATTGTCAACCACGGCGCAGCCGAGGTTGACAATAGTTTTCGAGGGGTGAAAACTTTCAATATTATATACCCTCAACTACATGCAGTATTTACATGTATTTTATTTATATAAACACTAAATGTTTTATACAAATGGAAATGAAAATAGAAGCGCGCGCGCGTAGATTCCGTGCATTCAATATTTTTGGGGGGGGGAATATCGCCCGTTGTCAAGCAATGTTGACTGTTGCTAGGTTTTATCGTGCTGGGGGCATGGTTTCATCATTTAGAGGATTAAAACTTTTTTTTCTAATGTTTCTCGACGAATCCTTGTCACCTTTTATGCGTATTATATAAGGCTATCTTTAAAACATTGTTTGGTCGCTTTCTCCCGAATGACCGACTAAAAATGGCCCGACTCAAAAACTTTTTTAATCTCTAGAAAGCATTTATTTTTTTAATGCATTCAAAAAGATAGATTTTGAAAATTCAGCATTGAAATTGAAATTTTCTGGGGGAAAATAATTTCTCACCTACCTACTGACCCATTTTTTTTTTTTATCCCGAGCCGGAGAGGGCAAACAAACATTATTTTAAAGTTGGTCTAATTTATTAAGTTTAAGAAATATTCATTGTATACGCTGTCCCTTCGACATCCATATGTTGTACTAATGCAAGCTTCGATTACACTTGACATAATCATGACTCATATTGAAATTATAAAAGTATATTTTAAAAATGTAAGTTTAATAAATTATCTTCATATGATGTAAATGGCAATGTAGATATTGTTCATAAAAATTATAGATATCTTTTTTTTCTAATTAAATACCGGTAAAACTTATTTTCATCTTAGTCAGAAATGAAATATACAAATATACTATGATATGCAGGGCATTGGTAATAGGGGAAGGGGTGGGCTATCTCGGGGGGGGGGGGGGGGGGGGTTCTACTCTAGAATAGTATCCAACCCCTCGGAAAGCTGACTCTGGAGAGTGGTTTCCGTGGAGAAGCCCTTCTCAGTTTTCCAGGGGAAAATCCAACTCTAGAGTCAGCTTTCCGGGGGAAAAAAGTAGGAGGAAAATCTTACTCTAGAGTTAGTTTTCTGGGGGATCCTAATCTACAAGATCGGTATATACCATTTGAAAATATATTCTTTAAATACCATTTTGCAGGTGAAATAATGATTATTCCTTAATTTCAATAAGAATTTTATCAATGTTAACACAAATTTTAGCATGTGTTTAAATTATAAAAAGTTGATGAAAAAAAACTGCATAAGTTTATAAAAAGGTGCATAGTGTTAAATGGAGACCCTTACCAGAACAAAGGCTGCGCCCACCATGCCTCCCAGTAGCTGAGCCAAAAAGTAAAAGATGCTGGCAACAAAAAACATTCCCCCCGACAGCGTTACCCCAAGTGTTACAACAGGGTTAATGTGACCGCCACTGAAAATAGAAAATCAAAATTCAGATGATCAGGTCAGTTTCTAGAAATTAAGTGAGAGAAAATTCGTTTCTCTACGCATTGTAAATTTTTGTACAATTACGATTTTCCTGATACGAATCAAATTCAGGTTTAGTATCCATTCAAGATGGTCTTTCTGGAAACCTTTTCAAACATGCTCATTTCGTCAATACATTACCGAATATTAAAGATAATAAACATAGGTTTAATTTTTCAAGAATAAATTCATAGTTTAAATTCACCACACTACGATAAAACTTATAGAAATAAAGGAGATTAAGAGGTGTCAATAATTATTACGTCACATTTAATTAATCTTCGACACCTGGGGAGTACAATACACACCGAGCCTTTCGGGCTCGGTGAATAACTTCGAAGGTGACGTAATCTTCGTATTGACTGAAACAAAGCAAATTAGATACTTCAATGATGACTGAATCTTCATATTGACTGAAAAAAGCAAAAATTGTTTTATTGGATGCTTCAATGATAAATTGATACAAATTCGTTAAGCATATCATGTCATGTTCTTACATTTGCTGAAGTCCTGGTCAAACGCAGTGAGAGAAGCAGGGTTAAAATAAAAATAACAAGTTGTATTAATTTGGAATTTTTTAATCTTTAAGAAAAAAGGCTAGAAGGCTCAAAGAAGAAAATTAAAAAAGTAATAAAATTAAAAAATCGTTATGACGAGATTAAAGGTCGTAATAACTAGATAAAAGTGTATTGCCACTTACAAAAGTCGTAATAACGAGATAAAAATAATGACTTTTTATTTCGTCATTACTTTTTATCTCGTTATTACGACTTTATTAAGTCACCTGAGTGGGAGACTGGTGAAGGTGAATTAACTTTTCAGATAACTAATTGTATCAATTTGGAAGTTCTCAATATATTTTTAGTGTAATGTAGAAAAAGTAATTCCTAACGTTCACTGGAAGGTCACGTGCTGGTAAACATAACATAGTATTTTTTCTACAACCAATCAGAGAGCAAAAAATTATTAATCGTATAATAAACAGGTATATTTATATGGAGGGGGAATTTTTCGTTGAGAGGAGGAGGATATTTTTAGAGGCAGGGATCTGAGGTTTCTGAATTCTCGAGATTTTAAGGGTAAAACGTACCGTTATAATAATTCTCCTTAGGCGCAGTCACTATGGGCCAGGTGCACCCCACCAAAAATTTATTTTAGAATAAACAATCTTGTGCAAAAAATTTTATCAGAAGATTGCTTTCTGTGATTTTCAAGTTTATTTGCTCGCATAGGCCCGATCAGGTTGTAATTTGAGCAAAATTTAAATATATAAATTTATATATGAGCCTATGGAAGTAAAATGTATTTTATGTAAAAAAAAAAAAATCTTTAAACATTTCGTTACTAATTTTATCTTTTCTTGTATCAGAAATTCTTAACATTGCCTTCATCAGTCTTTGGAATTTTTATGAAGGTGCATCCCCCCCCCTTTTAAATCCGCCAGTGACATGTAATCTGATCTGTGGGATAGATGTACTCTCCTTACAACTAGAATCGCATAAATCCCTGCAGGAATTCGGCATGAGCGAATCATGTTCTTCAACAGCAGTAAGAACATCATAAATTCACAAAATGATTTAAAAGAACTCTTGATAAAGGAGGTAAAAATACTCATATATGACATTTGGTCATTTATGAGGTGAATACTGTCCCACCCCATTGGATCCGCACAAACTAAATACTATACAAACCTAATTTTCCCAAGTCCTGCAATAAGGACAGCTATGGTCAGTCCATGCGCAATAGCGATAGGTCCTACATCCTGAGTTTGGACAGCCATACACCCAATGAATACAAAGACGGTGGTTCCGAAAAATTCGGCCAACGATGGACGAACCACCCTATCGTAAAATGAATCCGCAGCGCCACGATTAATGAGGGGGTCAAGCTCGGTCATTTTCTACACGCTTATTCAGTAATAATAACAGTAATAATAAACATTAAATTAAACACCATGTTTATAAATTCTCTCTCACGTGAATTCAGTCACTAGGCCTATCTCCCATGACATATCGTATAGCGGTTCACATGAGGTCTCAAGATTACTAGTAATATTTAACAATGTCACGGTACACTGATTTACGAGGTCACGGATAGTATGTGTAAATTCCAGGCGCGGATCCAATCCATTGGAAAGGGATCCTCCTCCCCTATTCTCTATTGAGAAGTTGATGGCTCCCCCTCAAGGGCGAGTATTAAAACGAGCCATCAACTTCTCAATAGAGAACACCTCCTCCCCCATCCTCGCAAGCCAGAGGTCCTGAGTCAACACGTTGTCGCTGGACGTCCAACGGCAACGTGTTGACTCAGGACCCCTGGCTTGCGAGGATGCTCCTCCCCCAATCCCCAGAATATCCAAATTCACACCAATATTGAAATCCTAATAGGCAATCAAAATTTCAGTAAATCTTTTATGAAAATTAATTACAGTATTTCTGTCTTTAAAAATTCTTGTATGAACCACATAAATCCCATCTTCGCTAGCCAAGGGTTTTCGGTTTATGGGGAGCGGAGAAGACTGAAAACCCTTGGCTAGCGAAGATGCATAAATCCAGTTCGCTTTTTTTCCGAGTGACATATAAAAACTAGAATGTTGCAATGAACGCATGTGCCGCCTCCTGCTTCATAGCATCATTAAAGTTATATTACTATGTTTATCACCAATCAAGGGCCCTCAAAGGGTATGTGCAATTAAAACAATAATATAATCATGATTATAATAAATATTGGTTGTTTTAAGTGAAATATTGCATACCCAGATTCTCACTTTACAAACATTCTTTACAGAATTAGATTACTAGTAACTGAAATATAAGCATCACATGCATTTCGGAAAACTAAACTGCTATAGATATAGTTTAATGAACAGTAGGTAGTTTCGACTATTTTAGCTTTATAAAAATGGTGCTTCAAATTTTAAAGTTGGCTTTTCCAACTTTATAGTTGGCAATTACTACTATAATGTTGGTAATTCCTACTTTAAAGTTGGCTTTCCAACTTTAATGTTGGCTTTTCCCACTTTATAGCTGGTACCTAATTCCAACTTTAAAGAAGGTAATTTAGTTATTCCAACTTTTAAAATTGGTAATTCCAACTTTAAAGTTAGATTTTCCAACTTTAAAGTTGGCAATTCCAACTTTAAGCTTGTCTTTTCCAACTTTAATTTGAGTTTTTCTACCTTCTCTGTAGTTTATTTTTCCTTTTTGTAATATTATTATCAACTTTATTAATGCAAAATTAATACACGGAAACAAATTTGTAAGAAATTAAACAGCGTCAATTATTTTTTACCTTGACCTTCCCTGTGTATGACCTTACATTACTCCAACAAGAGCCTCGGTTAACGTCCCTATGCTTCTTATATACTTTGGACACGGCGCCAAGTCAAAAGTATAGCCGCAAACCTCTAGCATGCTGTCCAGAGTAGACCTTACATATAAAAAAAACCTCATATTTCTCTTGGTCCGTCTTATATAATTTTATAGATTTTTAACTCCGTAAATGACTACAACTCCTATTACATAGGAAAAATCTGTCTGAATAAGGTGTTCAAGGTTTTGAACACATACTATACAGGCTCCCTTATTTTTAAATCGTTTACGAGAGAGTAAAGAGCAATAATGACATTGGGGTGTTCATTGCAGGATATTATATAATCCGTTGCTTCCTGGCGTTTTTCATAACAACTGTTATGCCATTATTTATACACTGAACTGTCTAAGGATTTTTCCGTTTTTCTTTCCCCGATCATGACAAAGAACACACGGCGGGTGTGACCGGTCGGCAGGGGATGCTCACTCCTCCATGGCACCTGATCCTCTAAATTTTGAGGTCCGTATAGTGTTCCGTTGGGGCACTCTCCTTTAGGGGGAAGATGCGAGAGTGCGAATTAAGTTGCGAAGGCGAAAGTGCGAAGTTGCGAAGGCGAAGGAGCGAAAGTGCGAACATGCGACGGCGAAGCGCGAAGGTGTGAGGGCGAAAAAGCGAAGGTGCGAAGGAGCGATACTAGTATCGCTCCTCTGCTTCGCAACTTCGCATTTTCGCCCTCGCACCTTTGCACTTTCGCCTTCGCCTTTCTTTTGTGGAGTTCTCTATCGTATGCTTACAATGAAGATCGAAGTATATCTACTGCATATATGCACATATATATTACACCAGGATATATCAAAATCAAACTTTTTACAGTTTATGGATCATGATAAAATCATATGTTCTCTGTCCTTTAGTTGAGACTGTGATGCACACCACCACTATAATTTTGCTCGTGCACCATGCATCAGTTACAACAATCATTTACCATCATTACGTTATATAATCTACCATTGTATATAAAATTAGAGTGTCCAGTGATCAATTACACTATTTTTCGTTTCATAAAATAGCAAGTGTATATTCATTAGTAAAAACGTCATTGTACAATGAATTTCAACCATTGCTTAACATCCATTTTGGCGCCGTCACACCAATCTAGCGCATGCGTACCAATAACATCCAAGAGTCCACTAAAATTAACTCATAATGATAAAGAGCTCCACAGAAGTAAAATGCGAAGGCGAAAGTGCGAAGTTGCGAAGGCGAAAGTGCGAAGTTGCGAAGGCGAAAGTGCGATATTAGTATCGCTCTTTCGCCTTCGCACCCTCGCCTTCGCGCTTCGCCGTCGCATCTTCGCACTTTCGCTCCTTCGCCTTCGCAACTTCGCACTTTCGCTTCGCAACTTTGCACTCTCGCATCTTCGCCCTAAAGGCGAGAGTGCGAAGGTGTGAGTGGCCCCAACGGAACACCATAGGTCCGTGTTTGATCTGCTCCAAATTTGTATCGTTTCGTTAAACTTTCGAGATTGAATACTGTTCGTTATCTTCATATTTCATTCCTTCAGTGTATATCTGACAACTTTTATTACATCTGCAAATGGTGTTACTTAGTTTGTGTTCAAGAATCCCTTTAATGTTAGATGTACCAACAAGTAGTACTTTTGGCTTATCTTTAAGTGCACCTTCACCGATAACTCTCGTATTTACTAATATTGCCACGGTTCTTCATGTTGCATATAGACAACAACCTCAGCAAAGGACCGGGGAGATCGAGTTCACATGTTTTTCAAGTCTCTCCATCGTCTTCAAGACTTCTTCTTTGATCAGACAGAGGGAATTACCATTTCTTGTACCTGTTCTAATTTTTGTATACAGGTGTTTGTCATTTCTTCTAGTTTCATCAGTCTCTTCTCGATTATTTGACGACTGCAGTTCTCGGACACCTGAGTCGGCTCTTTCTTATACAAAGGTCTGTGTTATTGTTGAGATTTTCTGTCCCATCCATGTCTTTGCTGTGTCCATTCTCAAGTTTACTGATTGAATTTGTAAAACTTTTCTCTAATCTTTGAAATTCAAGGGCAGTATCAGTGATGTTCAGAGTTTTTACAGCCGTGCCATCTTCTGTCATGACTGAACGATCAGCTGATGCAGTGCATGTGGAGCCATTCAAGTCTTCTTCTTCCCCACTGCAAATGTGTTCGTCAGAGCCAAAACTTTGTCTAAGATTTGTTTAAGTTTCGTAAAATGTTTATCTACAAATATCTTCTAATTGGGTTCTTGTGCCCTGATAGTACCCGTTGTTACAAAGAAGGTCACAATGTAAAGAAGACTTGTTTTAGCATAAATCCTATGACTTTAGAGTTTGCACTGTCAGACTTCTAGATCACCGTACCAGTTTATTTTATAACCTTTATTCGTCGCCCTCGTGGCGCAGTGTTAGAGCCAGGCCTGTAGCAACGGTTTCAAAAATGGGAGTGGGGGAGGGGGGGGCAACTTCCCAAAATTATGACAAGCAAAAAAAAAAACGTCAATTTTACTACCCAAATCCTGGAATTTGCCAGTGCTCGACCTTACAACATCAAAAAGTGGGGGGGGGGGGGGGGGGGGGGGAGAGAGAGCAGCATCTAAAGGAAAATTTACCATATCAAAATACCATACTCAGAAAAAAAATGGGGGGGGGGCGGAGTTCGAATTCACTGCGGGACGTGGAGACCAGTCCGGATGAGACTGTATAAACCGAGGTCCCGTGTCGCAGTAGATGTTGGCACGAAAAAGACCCCTCACTGCTCAATGGCCCTGAGTGCCGAGCATAGGTTAAAATACGCAGCCCTCCACCGGAAAGTAGTGGCGTCTGCATATGAGTGAAAAATTCTCGAGAGAGACGTAAAACTACATACAAACAAATAACCTTTATTCCTTCCTAAAAAAATTGTAGTAAATAGTATCGAGTGTTTTATCCATGGATGGATATATTGAAAATTTGTGAGAAACGTTATTTTCGCCTCCATTGTCGATCTCCTCGAAAAGGCAATTTCGAATCTCGGGCGCGACTGACTTAAGTCGATAAAAAAAAGATAGGTAGCAACTGTTTCTTCGCCATGCGCTCGGCACTTTGAAGTGAAAGTTGCGGGTCCTTCGGATGAGACCTTAAAAACCAAGGCCTCGTGTCACGACAGGCGTTGGCACGATAAAGATCCCTCACTCTCAATGGCCCTGAGTGCTGAGTAAAGGTCAAAATTTGAAGCCCTTCACCGGTATATGGTGACGTCTCTATATGAGTGAAAAATTCTCGAATGGGAGGTAAAACAACATACAATCAATCAATCGAAAAGGTAATTTTTGGCCTTCCCTACATCCAACCTTTTGTTAAGTTTCTTCAGAAGACTTGATTTAGGCTATTTTTTTATGCCCCCGGATCGAAAGATCCCGGGGGTATATTGTTTTTGTCCTGTCTGTCTGTTTGTCCGTTTGTCTGTTTATCTGTCTGTCTGTTGTCAACTTTAACCTTGCCCATAACTTTTGATTGGTTGGAGCCATGACTTTCATATTTCACATGTGTATTTCTTATGACAAGATCTTTCTTTGGGTACCATCATTTTTGACCTTGACCTTGGAGTTTGACCCACTTTTGCAAAATTTTATGAGACTTTAAACTTGGCCATAACTTCTGAACAGTTGG